ATTATTTTTTAAAAATAAAAATAAAATAAGAATTAAAGGTTCATGACTTAATTGAAAAAGAAAATTTTGAAGTTTTTTTTTTTGTTTTTCAATATCTCTTCAATTTTAATTAACCTAAATTTTTTATTCAGTAAAATAAGAATGTAGTAATCAAGTGATAAAATTTTATTTATTCTTGTTTACATATATTGTAATTATTTTTTAAAAATAAAAATAAAATAAGAATTAGAGCTTTATGCAATGCATACAATTAGAATATAGGGCGACTTGCCATAAAAAAAAAGAAAAAAAAAAAAGAGGAAATATAGGGCAGTTAATTTAAAACAACTTTAATTAAAAAGTATAATAATTAGAGTTGGATGGATGAGAATTATTCACTTTGATTGGTAGGGGCAAACTAATTAAAAATTTAAGATTTTAAGTTGAAAAATTCAACTTTGAGTTTTAAGCAGTGATTTGAGGCAAAAAAAAAAAAAAAAAGAAGTTTTTTCTTATTTATAACTTATCATCAAAATTGATGTAAAAAATTTATCAAAAAAAAAATTTTGATGTTAAAAAGAAAAATCACTTTGATTGGGTAGGGTTTTCCCATTGGGCAGGAGTCGAACTAGGTTGAATTAAATGGACTGAATTCGGTGATTAGGTTCATAATCTAACCCAACCCAACCCAATAGCCCATTTGTAAATGGGTTGGGTTTGCCTATCCGTGAACAGAACATCCATTAAGACCAACCCCTTCTCTTCTACTTCAGGGAACAAGAAGGAAAAGCATTCATCTACTTGTTTTTAGGGTTTTACATACTCGAGTCGGTTGCAGCAACAAGCAGAGCACAATGGATAGAAGACAGTTGACGACAGAATCAACGGGTGTGTTGACGACCACTTAAGATTTCAAAAACAATGAAAAATTAAGTGTGAGAAAATATAAAAAGGAAAGGGAGTCCCCACTCGTTCAAATTATAAGGTGAGACAAATCACCTAAAATAGGTCTGCGCAGAGATCAAAATTCGAGGGTTCGGTTAAGAGTGAGGAAAGACATATGCGCACCTCACAATTCTCCGTTTAAACACGATTGCATACTTTAAAATTGGGGTTTTAATTCAACTTATTTATTATATTTATATTTGGGTCTTAATAAACAAGTTTGAAAAAAGAGAAACCAAATTGAAACATTTTTTAATTTTTTGGATTAAAATAAACTAAATCAAAGACATGCATGCACAATAACATAAACAAGAAGTTAAGGGACTAACTTGACTAAATTCGAAAGATAAAGGACTGATTTGATTAAATTCAAAACATAAAGGACTGATTTGAACAGATTTGAAACCTAGGACTAAATTGCTTAATCGTAAAACCCTTGGGTGAAATTGAAATGAAGAAAGGTAGTTTTTGACCTTTTGAAAGGACGAGTAAGATAAAGAATTGAAAGTCAATTAATCATGATAATCAATTTAATTAAATGATTAATTTAATATTAATTAAAATTAATTAATTATATTCATTAATTTTTAATCAAGACAATTAAATGAATCTAATTATCTCATATTAAAACTAATAAATATAATTAATTTACTTTAATT